TGTGAGTCTTTTTCCTGCACCAGGTTAGGGAAGTTTTCAGTCATTATTTCTTCAGATAGGTTCTCGACCCTTTGCTGGCACTCTTCTCCTTCTGGTACCCCTATAACGTTGTTCCAAAGATCCCTTACGCTATCTTTATTTTTTAAATTCTTTTTTCTTTTTGCTGCTCTGATGGGGAGGTTTCTTCTGCTTTGCCCTCAAAATTACTGATTGGATTCTCTGCTTTATCCAACCTACCTTTTGTTCTTTCTGGTGAATCCTTCATTTCAGATATTGTATTCTTCATTTTAGACTGCTTTTTAATGGTTTTTGTATTCTTTTTTTATGCTTACTATCTTCTTCTTAAAGTTCTTACTGATGTCACCAGTTCTTCCCCCAAGTTCCTTGAGCAAGCATCTTTATAATCATTGTTTTGAACTCGGTATCTGGGAGGTTGCTGCCTCCATTTCATTTAGTTCTTTTTCCAGGGATTTCTCCCGTCCTTTCATTTGGGGCAGGCTTCTTTGTCTCTCCATTTTGGCTGCCTCTCTGCATGTATTTCTCTGTGTTAGGAAGAGCTGCTACGTCTCCCAGTCTCTGTGGGGTGGACTTATGTAGTAGGTGTCCTACGGGCTCAGTGGCACAGTCTCCCTGATCACCTGAGTCATGTGCTTCAGAAATGTCCCCTGTGTGCATTATGTGGACGCTCCTGTTTGCAGCTGAGTCTTGATCGCTGTTGGCCCATCTGTGGGTGGGGTGGCTGACTGTGAGGGTTGACCCAGACCCCAGGGTATGAGTTACTGTGCAGGGACTGACCCCATGAGTCAGAATCTGCCCCACCAGGGTTTGGTGCCAGCCAAGATCTCCCACTGGGTGTGCCTCTTGTGAAGTTAATTGGGTCATGCTCTGTTGTGGCCTGAAGCCCACCAGCAGGCGTGTTGTTTCTGGGGCCTCTAGGGAGGGACGCCAGTGTAAGTCAATGTCAGATGCTGCCTGTAACTGGCCCTGGGCTACCCATTAGGAGATATAAAGTAATTTACAGTTTATTTATTGCTGCCTCTGCTAAGCCGGAGTGCATGTGGGAGGGGCCAAGCTGGGTGCCAAGCCTGATTCTAAAGCACCCTGAGATCTGCCTTCTCCTGCTGGCTGTCTGTTAGGCTCAGTAACTGAAAGAGCCTCTGGCAGTAGGTGAGTTGCATTAAGTAGGTTCTGAGTGAGTCAGCAGGTAGGGGACAAGTGGTATGCACCAGGTTAATAGATTCGAACTTGGAGCCAGTGCTAGGTCTAAGGCCACTCAGGAAAACTCTCAGGGTATATCAAGGCCAGCCATGACCCACCTGGGGCCTGCAGACTTTTCTGGTGGGGCAGGGTCTCAGGGAGGCATCAGGGTGAGGCCAGTAGAGTTCATTCAGCTAGAACATTAATATTTGGTCTTGTGGAGGGAGGACTCTGCACAGGAACAGTAGCTCCAGCTGAAGCCTGGGGTAGGGGCGTGTGGGGATAGGCCTCCTGAAGAGCCTTCCAAGAAAGTTTCCCCTGTGGGCCCAAGGGGCCACAGCCAGCAGACTCCTCCTCAGGGCAGGGCTTGGCAAGGCAGGGCCACAGGGAGTCCGGAGGGTGGGGCTTATACATCACCCCTAGGCTGACTCAGCATGGAGCAGAGTGGTCAACCCAGGAAAAACAGCATCTGTGGGTGGTTTGGGAGAGACAGGGGCGGCTGACCCTCTAGCCTTCTCTCTGAAGCCACACAATCCAGTCTCTCCCTGTATGGCTCCAGTCTGCTCTGAGCCACTGTCCCTCGGCTGGAGCACAGGGTTAGTGGCCACAGAAGAGATTGTGTATGCTGATCACTTATGAGGGTCCCCTGCAGGGTTCCTAGCAGACTCCTGTCTCTTCCTGGAAGATGGAATCTCCACCAGATGTTACTATGCAGTCTCCTCTTCCAGGCACGGAAGCGCTGGGACAGGGAGCCCGGCATGGACTTGAGACACCTCAGGCCTCGGAGGGGACCTTTGCAGCTGAGATATACCTTCCTATTCACAACTGTTGCCTGTGGGTTTGGGGCCAGAATTTTTCATGTCTCTACCCTACTTACAGGATATGCTTCTGTAAATCCTTGCATATAAGACTTTTGTTCAGCTAGTTTTTCGTTAGATATTCAGGTTGACTGCTCTATAATTTAGTTGTAATTCCAGGTTGGTCCTGGGAGGAGGTGAGTGTAATTTCCACCCTCTCAGTTGCCATCTTGCATCTCCAGTTCTGGAAGCCGGAGGTCCAAGATCAGGAGCCAGCATGGTCCGGTTCGAGAGCACCCTCTTCTTCCAGGGCTCTAGGTACTTTGGCCATAGATATCTTTGCTGTGAAACCCATGTTTTCCTTCTCTATTCTAGAATAGCAATTTAAAAGTCTGTGACGTGGCATCCAGATGAGCTATAAGGTATTTTTCTGTTCTATAGTTTCATGATTAGAAGTTAAGGAAAAGAAACCTACTATGTGCTTAAGGTTTTTTGTTAACTATTTGCAAAAGAATAGCAACAATAGTAGTTCTTGGGGAGCGAAACTTACTTGTTCCCTGTACTAAGCTTTTCTGCACTGAGCTGCTTTTTAATATCATGTATTATTTACTACTAATAAATATAAATTTAAAAACAAATGCACTTTAAAATTTAAGTGGACAAAACATATTACTTTTTAAATCAGTACCCTCCCTTATAAATGTTTACATCCTATTCTTGCTTATTTTTACAACCTTACAATTAGCGATTTTTTTAAATAATAACTCTGAGGAACAGTGGGAAGTAGAACAGAGATGCAGAAGGTTTTGATGGTGGAAATTGCTGTTTATTCTGCAAATATTTGTAACAATCTGTTACAGGTCCTGGGCTGGGCACTTCCTCTTTTCTGTAACTTTTAGAAGCCTTCTTGTGTAAATACTCAAGCATTTTTTTTCTTTGAGAGTTCTGCATGCTTAAAATGCTTCCCATAGATAAGTGACGGTCTGTTCTCCACGAATTCAGCAATGAGCTCACCTTCAGGGAGAATCACCCAGGGTCCTGAGGTAAGTCCCAGGTATTTGGTTCAAGCAGAAACTACATTGATGACCCGGCTGCAAGTGAGATAGGAAGTCGTTGTACTGTTTGAGGAGCGCAGAGAGGGAGCAGCACTCTTCAAACAGATGGGCGATATTGAGAAACTAAGAGATAAAGAGGAAGCGTTTTTAAAAGGAATGTGGTAGAAGAGAAGGTGGCTGGCAACAGAAACTGATTCGGGGACATTTTAACTCACTAAATTGTTGTATTCCCCAAAAGCTGATTCTAAAGATGTGTAAACAGAAGGCTGTACACGAAAATAATGGCGCGCCACCTTCGAAGGCCAGGCAGCGCACAGGCTACAGCGGGCAGGCCACAAAGCTACCGCAACGCCAAAGAACTCAGTAATCAAGATACATATTTCATAAAACATTGAAACAAATTAATGCAATAATGTACGATGAAAAACATCAGCATTTAAAATAAAGACAAGGCTAGTATTTCCTGGTTTTTTCTCGTTCTTCAGACTCCAAAAGGCCTTCGGCAGGGCACTGTTAGTGATCCTGCAGAAACTTCCTACGCGGGTACGTTTTTATTAGTGATGTTTCCCAAAAGTTAGTCTTCACACCCTCGTTTCACACCAGTGACAACTTTTCTCGAGTGCCCCAGCGTTTATCTGCAGCTCTCTTCTGTCCGAAAACCCATTTCCCTTAGTAACTGGCAGTGCTTTGATGACGGTCTGAATCATCCTGGATCCTCTCCAGTCCCTTCCCAAACCACAGTGGCCACTCAGCACAGAAATCAGACTGGCCGTCTTAGGGGTTGAGCAGGGGAAGAACCCGGATATGTTTTGTTGGCTACAGAGTTTTGTCTTTTGAATGGACTTTATTATTCACAATTTACAATCAGAATATTTTGCATGAAAATAAATCTAAATCTCTCATTTCTTGGAAAATTAGAAAACGTCGCAAAAGCAGGCCCAAATTCTTCCAGGATGGCAACGGGAGATTCAGAGCAGAGCAGTTCTATCCTTCAAGCTCTGTCCAGTTCGCCGCCGCCTACACGGTTTCCTCGTTTACACTGCCTGCCAGGCCCCATGAGCTCTTTCCGTTTGCGACCTAGGAATTAAGGTGCAATGGCTAACACCCAGTTGGAGGGTTCATTCGTTCTCTCCTGGAGAATAAACGTTTTCTTAGTTGCCCTTTCGAATGCAGTCTTGCCGGACCGGAGGCTCCGTGGAACAGCTCACCGTTCTAGCGGGCAAACTTCTCACAGTCCGTGAAACTTGCACTGCGCCCCGCACATTGTTTCTCCCCGGCCCTTTGCTCCAGAGCCCCGTCCCCCGCACAGGGCCTCCCCCGGGTCCCCACCGCCTTCGCTCTGGAGCGCGGAGGTCGGGTCCCGGCCCCCCGCCGCAGCTCCGCGTCCCCAGCCCGGGCGCCCGGGCTCGATCGCGCCGCACTGGGCATGCTCAGAGTCGGCCGCGGGGGCAGGTTCGCTCCCAGGCGCTCGCACTCGGCGGCCGGCGGGCGGGCGCGCGGCTGCAGCGGGAGCTCGGGCGCCTGGAGTTGGAGTTGCCGGGAGTTTCCCCCCCAACACCTCTCTCTTCGCGCGCGGCAGCCGGAGCCGGCGCGGGAGCCGCGAGAGGCGCCCGGCCAGCACCCTCGCCAGTCCAGCCTTGTCCGGAGCCGGGAGCCCCGCGCGGGGCACCCCCCGGGGAGGAGCCTCGCCTCTGGGACGCGTGCCGCGCGCTGGCACTGCCCGGGCACGAGCCGGACTGCACGGTAGGGCCAGGGGAGGGCAGCGGGCGGGCGAGCCCGAGGCCGGGCCAGGGGGATGCGGCTGCAGCAGCCGCAGCGACTGGGGCTCCCGGCGCACGGTCCGATGCCGGAGGCCGGGGCGGGGGACCCCGCTGGGGCTCGGAGGAGCAGGCCGGCGCCCAGGCAGATGCTTTCAAGTTGGCGGGCGGCAGGATAGGGGGCTGCGCGCCCCGGCGCAGCTGCTCAGAGCGCGCCCAGAGCGATTCGGGTCCCGGGTTCCCCCCACCCCCAAACCTGGGACCCGGCTTGCGGGCAGGGTTGGGCACGCCGCGGAACGGAGCAGTTTCCTCCGAGAAAGTTGAGAATGGAGCCCTTTAATTGTCATTGTCCCCGCCGCACCAAAGTCCCGAGGGCGCGGCCCGAAGCCCCCAGGGTGCAGGGGCTGAATGTGTCGCTGCGCCCCTAGGCTGAGCTTCTCCACCCCGCCGAAATCCACGAATCACCCAGAGCTTCGCTTCCCTGGCGTCTTCTAGGAAAATCATTCCTGCCAAAACTGAGGTAGGATCTCCGGGCGGGCACGGCTCCCTGCCTGCAGGGCGCTCATTAGGGCGATGCCCCGTCCCCACCCTCGGACGTGGCCAAGGGCGCCGGGTTCCCTGTTAGCTCTTGAGGTGATGCGCGCCGGAATGGAGCCTCGCACACATGGTGGGGCGGTGTGGCTGGGGTAGGTGGCCAGCCTTTTTTCCTCCAGCCTTCCCTTAGTTTTACAGCGCCCAACCCTCCCTTCCCCCCACCCCCGCCCCCCTTCACCTTCGCGGAGACAGGGCCTGGCGGAAGGGGCAGGTGGAGAGTTTGGGTGGACATACTGTTCCTTGGGAAAGAGCGTCTGGGTCTTATCCGCCTTGGGCTCCAGCCCCAGGACGTCAATTCATAAGGAACCCTCTCCCCTTTCTGTTCTTCCTCTGGGGCTGAGTGGGAAGTATCACTGATAGGGCCGGTGGGTCTGCAGAAATGTCCACCTCATCCCAGTGGTCTCCTTAAGATGTTCCAGGGGACTCCAGGACCCTGGAAATGGCATTGTGTGGATTGCGAGGGTGTGGAGGATGCTGATGATTTCTTCTCCACTTTTTTCACTTCTTGTTTTGAGTGTTGGGGTTTGGCCTGCACGCGAGTCAGAGCTGTGCTGTCATAACCCGAGGGGGAGCGGGTGGAGGAGCGTCAGCCAGGCAGTGAGCTGCTGTTTGCCTCGCCTCCGAGGCTGCTAGTGGGAATTGGTCCAGAAATGATTATGCAGGCTAGAAATATGCCTCCCTTTTTTTTTTTTCTTTTTTGGCTGAACACCTTGGCTGTTGGGTTTGTGTGTTAAGTTCTTAAAGGGGCACCCACAAACTGCTCAAGTACCACGTTGTAGAGGCTCACCATTTGTGCTGCATGTTTCCCTGTGTGCTTTTTCCTAGGGGGAAGCTGCTTTGGGACACATTTTCAGGTGTGGGAATCACCTGGTGCGGGCGCATAGGTTCTAGAGTCAGACAGACCTGAGGTCACGTTGTAGCTTTCCAGGGGCTGACTGTGCCCACAGACAAATTGTTAGGCACTCAGAACTTCAGTTTTGTCTTCCATCAGATGGGACTAATAGTGACTCTATCTCCTTTTATTGCAGAGTTGTTGTGAGACTTGGGTGAGATAATGGAAATAAAAGATGCTTTGAAAACTTGAAGGCCTTATTCATGTATTGGTGCCCTTTACTCAGTTTTTTTTTTAATTTAACCAATTTTTTAAAACTATAGCAAGACATTTAAGTCTTCTCTGCCCACTCCTTACCAAGAGATTTTAGTTGCTAAGGTCTTTGGAGTAGCTATTTATCTTCTTTTCTTCCCTCTCCTTAAATCCATCTCCTTTGATGCCGCAGTCCTCAGGTTTATTTGCGGACAACAGCACGGTGCAGATTAGGAGGCAGGGTGGGATTGACTTACCGACGTCCAGAGTCCCAGTCCCCGGTTTCAGATCGGAGGTTGATGAACAGGGCAGCAGACCCTGGGCTGCAGCTCTGGCTTGGCTTTTCACAGTGACCTTGAACTAAGGACTCAACCCCTCATTGGGGAGATCAGTCTGTGAGGTACATAGTCAGTGCTGAGCAGAGGCAAGAGCAGGGGAGACTGTCTCTCACACACTCGGTGAAGGTTTCATCAGGCTCCTGACCCCCCCCCCCCCACATTGTCCCCGATCCCCAGGCAGTGGTTCTCAAACACAAGCATCATCGGAGTCCCCAGGACTACACCTATAGCACCACCGACTTACGGAAGAGAGAGAGTGAGAGGAGGAGGTTTGTTGGGAATGCCGTCATTTTAATGCATCCTCTGTAGGGACAGAGTGTTTCAGGAACTTGCCTAAGACATTTTGTATTTCTAATGCCTGTGCCACTTACTGTTGTCCAGTTTTAATAATCCCGATTACTCTTCAAATTAATCAACTTTACACACAAAAAAAGATCAGATCTCTCCTCCTTTATGTACTGTAAAGCATTTAGTCTTTGGTTTCCAGGTTACTCTTGGGTAGACTGAGATTGGTAATCCTGATATTGATAAGGCCACAACTCCCCCATTTTCTTTCTTTGGGGATCTCAGACATTTATAGAGAGGAGGTTGCGTAAAGTTCTGGCAGCTTGAACCTTAAGACTGAAGAACTTATGAGCAAGTTTAAAAAGAATTGCAGTGTGGTGTCTTTCTCAATGGGCAGCGGACCCAGGCCTCGGGGGAGGTGAAGTGCACCCCATGACAGATGTCCCACAGTGCTCAGGTTTGGGACCTTGCATTCCTTCGGGGGTGGGGTGTGGCAGTAACTGAGATGCTTTCTCCCTCTTCGAGGGGGAGGAAGGCCGACTTTCAGGGGCAACTGTGTCGCATCTGCGCTGCTTGGTGTGATTTAGTTGATAATCGAGCCCTTTGTGGGCACAGCCCAGCCTTAAGCTATTCTCCTTGTCCCCTAAGCTATGGCCCCAGGCTGAGAGCTGACCGTGACCGAAGGGCCTAGACCGTGTGGCACTGATGCTTTGTATCGGAGAGGCTTCCGGATCCTGCTCAAGTCAGGAGGGTTCCTGAGATGGCTTCCTGACGCAGGACTAGGTTTATGTAGCCCCCAAATGGGCTGAGCGTTAGAGGAGGTCAGCATTTAAACTCGTCTTGTATTCCTGTGGCCGCACGGAGTCCCAGCTGACCAGCACGCTTGATCTCAGCTTTACACTGGGGCTCTTATTTTTTAAATGAGTAGCACCAGAGAAACCTATCAGTAAATCAGAAACCTCTTCGAAAACCCAAGGGTAGCACTTAGTGTTTTAGTAGATAAACCGCATGCCTATCTTCCCACCTCTCATCAGCACTCAGTGAGGAAACAATATTTGGGTTGTAAATCTTAGCCTTCACTAGCTAGTTTAAATGGTTTGGGCTACTAAGCAGGAGTAGGGAACATTTTTGTTTTAAACTTCTTGCCCGTAACTTCATGTTCATATTTTGGGTGTTACCCCTACTTTTAACTGCTAGGATGTTTGCCAGCGTAGAGGACAGAAGTTACGGGGAAGCGAAGAAGTTCTCCTTATCGCCGTTGTTCACTGTTCTCAGCGCGTGACCCCGTGATGTCTTTGCTCGCTTGGCTAAGTCCGTTGTGAGGCGTCCTTAGGACACTTTACTTCTCTGTGGTCCACTGCCGTCACTGTTCTCCTCAGCCTCGCGACAGGGTGCTTTTTAACTAAAACTCGGGTTGCACTGTACTCACTCTGTAGACGTTTCTCACACTTCATCATTTTCCAATTTCAGAAGTCCAGATGGCTCTTAAAATGATGAACCCAGTTAATGTATGGTTTCTTTTTCCTTTTTCTGTCATCTGCCATGTTAATAGACTGACTTCCAAGGGACGGCATTCTTTGGGGATGAAACAAAGCAAGTTTGGTTCCTTCCCCCAGCAGAAAATATGGTTTCTACCCAGTGCTTTCCAGCTGGTAGAATCGAGCAGCAGTTGAGTGAGCTCAGCAGTTTCCACCGTGTGTCGGGAGAACGATGTTGGGGTGGATGTTAGTAGGTGTGCTTTTGTAAAGGGCAAGTCAGTTTGGAAGCGCTGCCTATTACATTTTTCCTGTCTGAGAGATTCTCCATGCGGGCACCGTCGTACCACCAACTCTGAGAAGTACTGCAGGTTAAAAATATCAGCAACAAAACCCTTGGTTGTATTTATTCAATTAAATGTTTCCCAGAACACAGAACATTTTGAGGATTTTTGTGTATCTTTTAGGACTCCGTTACTGAATTGGCACATTCAGCAATTCTAGTAACTTCTTTAACACCATCTCCGGATGGGGAGGTTTTACCTAGTATAGCCTTAAAGTAAAGGTCACTCATTAAATATGGATATTAGTTGATTAATTGAACTCTCTAGGTGCTTACTGTTGTTTTTTTGTTTTCGTTTTTCATTTCAGAAAAACCATTCTAAGCTGTGATGGCTAAAAAATTCTCCCTGGAGAGGCTAGACTAAGAAGATATTGTGGACAATGGATGGCACTTTTGTAGAGGAAAAGGGGGCGTTTTAGTTCGGTGTTGTAATGGAGCAGGAGTGGGAAGACTTGGACTTGTGCCTGCTTACAAGTTAATTTCAGAGCACATAAGAAAGGACCATGCCTAGCTCAGTGAGATGGAGCAACCCGTGGTGGTCTCAGAGCCTGTTGTGAAGGTCTTTTCTTGATTCTGTAAATTCACTGAGGGAGCAGACCAGTGCCAGGGACCACAGGACAGCTGGTTGTGGACGAACAGGGGGGCGGGCCCGACACGCAGGCTGAAAACAGGGAGGTGTGATGCGTGAGAATGAAAGGGACACAGAACGAATGTATAGGCCATTGGAGGGTAGTAGTTCCAGGTACAGGGTAATGCATTAAAATGTAGGTCCAGCTGAAAAGTATTGGATATTTGGGGAAAGAGCATTTTTGGAAGACCCACCACAAAGAGGGGGTCTTAACTGGAGTTTAAAAAAATAACAAGAATAAAGAACTTTTTACAACTTAACAATAAATAAGAAAATAACCCACTTTAAAGTTGGGCTTAGGATTTAAATAGACATTGCTTCAAAGAAGATATACAGATGGCCAATGAAAGCATAAATGATGCTCAACATCATTAGTCATTAGGGAAATAACAAGTCAAAACTACAACGAGATAACACTTCACACCCACCGGGACGGCCGTAATAAAAAAGTTATAATAATAAGTGTCAGTGAGGATGTGAAGAAATCAGAATCCTTGTACGTTACATTGTGGGTGGGAATGTAAAACGATGCAGCTACTTTGTAAAACGGTAGTTCCTCAAAACGTTAAACAGAGACACTTGGTGATCAGTTCCACTCCTTGGTGGGTACCCAAGAGAATAGAAAACATACGTTCGTGAAAACACTTGTACACAAATGTTCACAATAGCATTGTTCATAGTAGCCCAAAGGCGGAAATGACCCAAATGCCCAGCAACTGATGAATGGATAAGCAAAATGGGGTACATCCGTACAATGTCTTGAAAACATGCTA